TAAGCATGGCTTTCAGCTCCGCCACTTAGCGAGCTCTGTGACCGGACGGTGCAGGTACCCCATCAGACGTCATTGCCTGTATCTAAGAGAGGAGCGTACTAACGCAGTATTGGAAGGGCTACCGAGAAGGCTAAATGACACAAAGCATGTAACTGTTATGGAGCTGGCACGTCGTAGGTGGTCAGGAAGTAATTAGCATCACAGGAAGGGAGCTTATCAGTGAAATGAGCATGAACCTGAGGTCCAGACACTTTGGACTTCCAGCAGCCTGGCTGCCCTGGCGTTCCCCCATCATGGGTAAAGTTGGAACACTAACACCTTTTCAAGGCCAGAGCTAGTGTGGGTGAGATTTTTGTCTCCCAGTGAGGGTCGTTCTCTTTTTTTTTTTTTTTTGGAGAGATTTTTGCTATAGGGTGCTTGCGCTTGCCAGACAGAGACAGACAGAGAGACAGAAAACAGGAAATCACCCCCCAGGGGGGATGGCCATGCCGCAATCCCTTCTCCTCCATTCTCCTCTCGAGATCTTGGGCACGCACGCACACGCGCCCGGCGTGAATTTAAGCCACCGGGTCCGGGACTCGAACCGTGGTCGACTACGTGGGAGTCTAGCGACATAGCCATTACGCTAACTGCTGGTCCCGAGGGTCGTTCTCTTTATCATTATTTATTCCCCAGTTCTGCAAACCACCAGCTGAAGGCCAGTTCTGGCCAGCCACTGGCTCCTCTATTGACTGAGGCCAAGAATGGTTGCATGTTTTGGAATAACTGGGGCAAAACTGAAGAAGAAAATTTTGTGACTCATGAAATTATATGAAATGCACATTTCTACGTCTATCAGTAACGTTTTCCTTGCACATGGCCTTGCTGGCTTGTTTCTGGGCTCTCTGCTTTTGCACAATGGCTGATGTGGGTAGTTGTGGCAGATTGGAAGGTCTGCAAAACCTAGAACATTTATTGCTTGGGAGCCAGCTGGTGGCATGGTGGTTAAAGCAGTGGGATCTCACATGGCTAATGGTACCGGTGTGTTTGCATGTGTGCCCAGACTCCCAAAAAGAGATTGGAGGAGAACGGATTGTGGCATGGCCATCCTCCCTGGGGGGGGGTGTGTGTGTGTGTGTGTGTGTGTGTGTGTGTGTGTGTGTGTGTGCTTTCTCACTTCCCTCTCTCTTTCTCTCCTGTGTCTCTCTCCCGCAAATGCACAGGCCCTATAGTAAATTTAAAAAATAAATAAATAAAGTTTGCTCATTCCTTTTCTACTTCACTTTTTCTTAAATGTAAAGATTAAGGAGCAGATAAATAAACAATTTTTCGTTTATTTATTTAAATATCCAGAGCTTAGAATCTAGTGTCTTGGTATCAGCTTACTAAGCCAAACACTGACATTTTCTTATAAAATTTGATATTTGGGGAATTATATAAATAAGGAAATATTGGTTACATTTCTCACGTGTCTGACTAGATAACTAAATATTTCATTAAAAAAATCCTAAAATGTTTTTATCTTACGGTATCACTTTTGTGTCCTTACATAAACTATGCTATCTCTACATTATCTTGTAGGAAGCTTTGTTACAGTCTGAAAATTAATGGAATTTAAAATAATAAGCTTGGGGACAGCAGATGGCATAATGGTACATTGCTGGACTCCCATGTTGTTGACCATGGTTTCAGTCCTGGACCTGGCAGCTTGAAACTCACGCAGGGCATGTGTACATACGTGCCCAAAATCTGAAGAGGAGAATGGAGAAGGGATTGCAGCACGGTCATCTCCCCAGAGGGTTGATTTCTCACTTTCTATCTCTCTGGCTAGTGCATGGGCCCTATAGCAAAAAATCTCTAAAATAATAATAATAAATAAATAAAATAAAATAATAAACCTACAATCCTATACCAGTGGTAAACTGGTGATGTCTCTATATTTACCACTGGCTTTATTTCCTCTTGAAGCAGCATGTGGCCTGACCACTGTTCCCAGGCCACACCCTGCTTCTCACCAGCCATCCTCCACACCCCCTGTCCCCTGCCCACCCTCCCTTCTCTTTTAATTCTCTACTGACAAAGTAAAACTGAAACTGAGCAACAATTCCAGATGGTTTTGTTTCTCTTCTGATTTGGGGCACTTTAGTGTATTTAGGACGAAAGAAAATTAGTATTTTTAGAGTGACACTCTATACACGAGACAAAGAAACACATCTAAATTGCTTGACTTGGGCATTTTAGAAAACTTGTGCCCTGAGCAACTCATTCTAGAAAGGCGGGTGATGGGTTTGCTGTGGATCAGGGCTCAGTTTACAGGACTTACATATTCCAGAGCCTGAACTAAAATGGGCCAAAGAACAAAGACTTAGGCTCTCCTTCTAATTCATCCCTCCCTCCCACGAAATTATCTCCTTCTATTTAACACATAAATTTAAGAATATATCCAACTACTCAGATAACCTATTCAAAACAATCTTAGGAATTAAGTCATTAAAACCGACCACTTTTTAATCTATCAATCACATAAATCATTTTGTTGATATGGAGCTCTTAAAAAATTAATCAGAAGCTTTGGTACAGATCTTCCCTCACCAATGGGCTAAGGGTTGAAAGGAAAATTTTATTTACATTCAGAATTCTGCCAGAGGAACCAGTCATAGTCAAGATGTCTGGAATTATTACTTAGACAAAGCGAAGCTAGTGTGCTGGATGGGTATGAACTGGCGCAAGTTGGTTATTAAATAAATATTCCAAGTTGCAAGCTTGCCATTGTCCACAGTGGGGATATTTCTTCCAGGGAAACAGGCACATGTAAGAAATCAGGGCTTCCTCCACACCGCAACCCACCATCGGTGGATCAGGCGCACCACTGGGTGTGATTCAATAAGCCGTGCTCCTGAGGCTCTTTCTGGGGGGACGAAAATGTCCTAAATCTGACTTACGGTGATGGCTGTATCATTCTTTAAAGTTATTAAAAATCATTGAATTGTACACTTGAAATACATGAATTTTATGATATGTAAAACACATCTCAATAAAGTTGTTAACCAAAATGTCTCCAAATCCACTGACGAAATACAAACATTATTGGTGGTTTTAAGACTCAAGGACAGGGTCAGCCTGTGGCACAGTGGCTAAAGTGCCTGGATCCCACATGGCTGACAGTGTGTGTGTGTGTGTGTGTGTGTGTGTGTTTCTCTGGGTTTTGTGTTATGTCTACCCCTTGCATATGGAGGGAGGACCAGTTGCATGTCACCTGTGGGGTTTGCCCGCAGTCGCTTTCTGCTCTTAGCATCAGAATGGGGCAGAGACACCTCTTTCATCTTTTTTTTTGGAGAGATTTTCACTGTAGGGCGCGTGCGCTCACCAGACAGAGAGAGACATAGAGACAGAAAGCAAGAAATCACCCCCCAAGGGGGATGGTCACGCCGCAATCCCTTCTCCTCCATTCTCCTCTCGGGATCTTGGGCACGCACGCACACGCGCCCAGCGTGAGTTTTAAGCCACCAGGTCTGGGACGCGAACCGTGGTCGACTACGTGGGAGTCCAGCGACATAGCCATTACACTAACTGCTGGTTCCCAACCGTCCTTCATCTTTGCCGCGTCGGGGGGGCCAGCAGTACTCAAGTACGGAGTCTGGGTTCGAGAATGTTTGTGTAATTAGAGAACCAGAATTGACATCTCCTTGGTCTCACTTCTCCTTCAGGGCCCCGACTGAAGTGGGCTGCATATGCCGGTAAGGACGCAGACAGCAGCGTAGACGAACGAGTCACTAAAGCTCTGGGTGAAGGCTGCAAGTCCGGCTTTAGTGCTTAGACTTCACAGACACTGTCTCAGACACACGCGGAAGGCCTTTTACCTCTTCTGTTGGGGGACTGGATGTGGAAAGGTGGAGAGATCCTGGAATTTGGACTTCCTAAGAAGAGAACATTCCTTTCCAGAAAATCCTAGCTCTCACATCTGACTTGCTGTATGAAATGACATTCAACTAGGAGACTTCAACTTTAAGATATAGAGACAGAAATTAGCGAGAACTTTTACAATACAACCCCAAAAGACAAAATCTCTGATGTTTTAACACAGAGATTTCATCTGTTTTTCTCTGGCTAAGCCTATGGTCTCCATCTTCACCATTTAATTGATGTCTGACGCGGTAAGCCAAGTTATCCAGCCCTGCCTGGTGCTTGCTTTTGTCTTTTCTGAGATGGAGATGACAACAGTTCCTAAGTCAGGGGGTGGGGAGATTCAGAGCTGTTGTCCGGGCAGAGGACCGGCCTCCACCTCTCCCGAGCACAGGTGTGGAACCGCCCTGGTCCTGATCTTCCCCGTGCTTTGGGTGGAAGGCTCAGCTTCCCTAGAAAATCCCCCGCCGCTCTTGCATAACTCCTGCCTCTTCTGTTACACATCTCCAGGAGCTGTCTCAGCTGGGTCCCTGCTTAAAGGCAGGTCCCTGATGACCTCACCCCCCTACACTTACGTGTCTGACTCAGAAGCTGCACCCTCTTCCTGGACAGTTGGTATTTTACAGGCTCCGGGTCGCCCCTACAGACCTACCTGCATGCAAGAGCCCATGGATGAGAACTCAGCATTAAGAAGCCGCGAGATTGCTGCAGAAACTTCCTCATTTTCTCTCTTTTGAAAAAGTCCCTCTCGCTTACAGTAGGGGGGACGCTGTTTCCCCGACCGGCCCCCAGCCCTCCTGCTGGCAGTACTAGTGCGCACGGCTCCTGGTGGCACAGCCGTTCTCAGCCAGAGCAGTGGCGAGGAAACCCACCACCCTCAGCTCGGAGTCCCAGTCCTCAGAGAACATCCAACACTTGACTTAGGGCCCATTTTCTCAACCAACCTGTTTTTAACATCTGGAAAGTGCCAATACTTCTACAGAGTTACAGGGGACAACTTGGAAAGGGTGGAAGGTTGGCTGGCAGAAAGGGGGCGCGGAAGGCAGTCGTTAGCCACAGCGAGGTGGGGTGGGAGTGCCTGTTCTCCAGGAAGCACCCAGAGAAGCACCTGCTCTTACCCCAAGTCCTGGAGCAACTCCGCTTCTCCGTCCAGTCTGCTCCACAGATCCGAGGGGTCCCGGGTGCTCATCTTCCCTTCTACAAGTTCTGCTCTGCCCATTCGCCCTTCCGGTCCACTGAGCGCCTGTCAGCTGCGGTGGCGGAGGCCGAGGGAGATGGGCTGGGGTGGAGGGGGCTCCTCGTTCTCCGCTCCTCTGAGAGAGGAGCCGGCTGTAGCTGCTGCGTCGTCAAGCAGCCAGGAAATGAAACCGGGCGACTCCTCCCCCGACATTCACCCTGCCACCTTGGCCCTAGGCACTGGAGGAGTGTCTCCACGTCAGTCAGGAAGTATGCAGACTTAGGTAGAGCTCTGAGGACACCCACTGCCTGCAGCCAGGGAAGCTGCTCGGAGGAAGCAGAGAGGAGACCATGCACCTGGGGCTGCACTGTGGGTCCAGAGGGTGCTGGAGCTTCTCCATCCCTCGGGTTTGCAGAGGGGCACACCCCGCATGCAGCCACCTACTTCCTGTCCTGTGCACGGGCACAGGAGCACAGGGAAGCTGCTTTACTGGGGGCATCCTCAGAGTGGGCAAAGACATCAGAGTCAAGCCCCTGGAATCGGAGACCTTGGTTTGGGGTTACCGTGATAAGGTGACTCTGGCGCAGGGTCCAGAAAGCCTCACTCTATTTTCCATGGCCTGTTCCCCCTGCTCAGGAAAAAGAGATGCCATCATATTATAGTAAATTGAAACAGAAATAAGGAGAAGGGCAGGTAGCCAGCCAGGCGGGTGGTTACCAAGTGCCGGTGAGAAGGGAGCTCAGTGCCCATCCTGTGCTCTTGTGGATCGTGACTGGTCATAGGTACAGTGCCCCCTGCCGGCCTTACCGGCTCTGTGCTTGCCATTCTGGGAAGTCCCTCTATTGTACTTGCCTTGGCCCATCTTTTTCTGCTAGTCCATTTAGGCTACGTGGTGAGTGGACCTGACCTTGACCTCTAATGTGTGTTGGTGTTTGTTCTTTTCTTCGTGGCAGTCTGTGGGGCCTCATTCCATGTGCTTCCAGATTGCTCCTGATTTAACAGGCCTCCGCCAGGCTGCTAGGGTCCAGACTCTGCTGCTCTGGTTATCATTGCTCTCTCCAGATGTCCTTGGGGTACTCAAGGATTTACTGTGCCCCGCCCTTTACTGGGATTGGGCGGGCGCAGCTCTTACAGGGATTGACCAGGCACAGTCCTTGCTGGGATTGGCTGTGCACAGCCCTTACTGGGATTAGCTATCCATAGCCCTTACAGGGATTGGCCAGGTGCATCCCTGCTGGGATTGTCTATGCACAGCCCTTGCTGGGATTAGCTATCAATAGCCCTTGCTGGGGCTGGCTGTGCACAGTCATTGCTGGGATTAGCTATCCATAGCCCTTACAGGGATTGGCCAGGTGCATCCCTGCTGGGATTGTCTATGCACAGCCCTTGCTGGGATTAGCTATCAATAGCCCTTGCTGGGGCTGGCTGTGCACAGTCATTGCTGGGATTAGCTATCCATAGCCCTTACAGGGATTGGCCAGGTGCATCCCTGCTGGGATTGTCTATGCACAGCCCTTGCTGGGATTAGCTATCAATAGCCCTTGCTGGGGCTGGCTGTGCACAGTCATTGCTGGGATTAGCTATCCATAGCCCTTACTGGGATTGGCCAGGTGCAGTCCCTGATGGGATTGGCCACAGATAGTGTGGCCAATAACCAATTAACCATGCATGATTCTTATTTCTCTCCAGATGTAAAGACTCCATTTCTAAATAAATTCACATTCTAAGTTTCTAAGTAGACATGAATGTGGGGAGACACCATTCAATCTAAGACAAACTGATCCCTCTGAAGGGAGAAAAAGAAGAAAGGAGAACTGGTTAGAGAGAGCCTCGAACTGGAGTTCTAAGCAAGTACTATCAGTCTGGGGCAGGGGGGGTTGAGCCCCAGAGCAAGGACTGGCCACTGGCCTAGCCCGGCTCTCGGAGCCCCCAGAGTGATTGCTGGCTGAGAGCAGCTGGAGAGCATGGCCTCGGAGTGAGATTCAGAGGGCACCATCCCAGGCACACGAAGACATCTGCCAGAAACGAATCAAATTTGAAAAGGTCTGGCAGGGATCTTCCCAACCTCCCATTTTCCCTCTTTTATTTCTCCTGTTCTGTTTGCTTAGCTTTCATTTTCAACATGCAGCCCTGAACTCCATTTTCACCCGTTTCACTGATATGAAGTGTTTCTTCCATTTGCTAATCTGGCCACTTGGTTTAAGTCCTTGATGTCGCTTCAGGGCTGAGAAAGTGCTACAGAAGAGGACAACGGTGTAGTTTACAAATCCCACTTCAGGGGAGATGGGAAATCAAGCAACCGCTGAGGTACAGGGGGATCCTTGTCTTACACCCAAGGGTCCTAGGGATGAAACAGCTCTATTTTCTCAGAGCTCCCAAGGGCCATCTGTGCCCTTCAGCCCCTACCTCCAAAGTAGTTCCAAGCTTGCATGCCAGCCCAGCACAGCACTAATGCAGGGGCCCTGAAAGGCTGGAAGTCATGTGGTTGACTGTGGGTTCGTATCCCTGGGTTGGCAAGAAAACACACTGGGCACACAGGATCCTGAGGAGCTAGAAGACTAGGAAGAAAGGCTCTATAAGACTCTGTCAAGGGTGCTCCTTTCTCTCTCAAGCTGTAGCCTGATACATACAAGCTCTCAACCAATCAAACAAACAGACAACAACTCACGTGTTCCATCTGAGCCACGAAATGGATCATGCTCATTATTCTGCAGACTTTAATCTCAGTCCCTATCAGTACTTCTAGCTACTGTGCTATTTTAATAAGGGTACAAGGATTCCATCATAAGCCAACATATGGTTAAGCTTTTCTCGCTCTTCAATCAAACATTCTCTCTCTCTCTCTCTCTTTGTTTTAGTTTTTTTGCCATAGGGTGCATGTGCTCATAGGGGAGAGAAAGAGGGAGACAGTGAGAGGGAAAGTGAGAAATCACCCCTCAGGAGGATGGCCATGCAGCAATCCCTTCTCTTCCATTCTCCTGGGATTTGGGGTGCACACACATATGCACCCAGTGCGATCTCCAAGCCTCCAGAACTGAGACTTGAGCTACGGTCAGCTATGGGGAGCCCCCCTTTTTTCAGAGAAGTTCTTGCTATAGGGCATGTGCACTTGCCAGAGAGACACAGAGAGATGGAGAGATAGAAAGCCAGAAATCACCCCCCAGGGGGATGACCACACCACAACCCCTTCCCCTCCATTCTCATCTTGGGACTTCGGGCACATATGCGCAGGACATATGCACACATACTCACAGGAGTGAGTTTAAGCCACTAGGTCCGGGACTTGAACCATGGTCAACTACATGGCAGTCCAGCAATGTATCCATTACACCATCTGCTGGTCCTATGGGGACTCCTTTGTAAGGACACTGATGCCATTCACGAGGGCTCCACCCTTATGACCCAGTTACCCTCTCCAAGGCCCGCCCCTCTAATACCATCTCAAAGGGGCCAGTTTCAGCATGTGACTCTGGGGAGGACACACATTCAGACTGCAATGGGAACGAGGGTGGCCGCCTCACCCGGGAGGGGTGTTTATCACTCATATTGTTGAGAATTGCCAGTTTCTGCCAATAATAAAAAGCCGTCTCCCCATTGCTGGCTTTATTATTGCTTCTCAGTTCTTACTAGGCAGACTGTGGTTAAAGGGTCGCGAACTCCTACCCCCAGCCCATCTTTGTATGCCACTGGCAAAAGACCCAAAGATCCTTATATCTGGAGGGAAGTTTCTGTTTGTCTGTTTTTAGTTTTGCTGTAGGGTACATGCCAGAGGAAAAGAGAGAGAGAACATGAGAAATCACCCTGTGTGTTGTGGGGGAGAGAGGGCAGTGGCCACGCCAGAATCCCTTCTCCTTTATTCTCCTCTTGGGATTTCAGGCACACATGCACACACACCTGGGATGTTTTCTAAGCTGCCAGGTCTTGGACTTAAACCACAAAGTTGGCTGTGTGGGGTCCAGCTGCCTTAACTACTTATAAATAAATAAGGGGACGAGCATAGCGGTTACTCACTGGACTCCCACATGGTCAACCACGGTTCAAGTCTGGACCTGGTGGCTTGAAATTCACACTGGGTGCATGTGCATATGTGCCCAAGATCCTGGGAGGAGACTGGAGGAAAAGGGCCACCCTTGGTCATCCCCCCAAGGGTGATTTCTCACTTTCCATCTCACTGTCTCTGTCTCTCTCTCTCTTTGGGGAGCATACAGAACTTAAGGCAAAAATCTCTTAAAAAAATAAAAGTGTTTAAAGTTTCTTTCCATTAGAAAGAGAAAGGAGACAAGCATCCCCAACAGTATTTCATGAAAGATCCTCTCCCTGCTTTCCCAGCCAGTCAGGATCACAGACATGCACAGGTCAACAGGGAGCTGAACCCTGAGCTCCCATATGGCTTCCAGCACTGCAGAACATTGTGCTACCGCTGCGATCAGTCCTAAGCCACTTGTAAGAGTTTTCTTAACCTTGAGATTATATGACTGTTTTGAAACAAGCACACATGCATTATATGTATTATATGTATTATCCTCTGCGCTGAAAACACCTCTTAGCCAATCAGCAAGCCTTCAGGAAGA